GGGAAGATAGCGGGCTACAAGTGGGGAGATAGCGGGCTACAAGTGGGGAGATAGCGAGCTACAATTGGGGAGATAGCGAGCTACAAGTGGGGAGATAGCGAGCTACAAGTGGGGAGATAGCGAGCTACAAGTGGGGAGATAGCGAGCTACAAGTGGGGAGATAGCAGGCTACAAGTGGGGAGATAGCGAGCTACAAGTGGGAAGATAGCGAGCTACAAGTGGGGAGATAGCGAGCTACAAGTAGGGAGATAGCGAGCTACAAGTAGGGAGATAGCGAGCTACAAGTGGGGAGATAGGGAGCTACAAGTGGAGAGATAGCGAGCTACAATTGGGGAGATAGGGAGCTACAAGTGGAGAGATAGGGAGCTACAAGTGGAGAGATAGGGAGCTACAAGTGGGAAGATAGCGAGCTACAAGTGGGGAGATAGCGAGCTACAAGTAGGGAGATAGCGAGCTACAAGTGGGGAGATAGGGAGCTACAAGTGGAGAGATAGCGAGCTACAATTGGGGAGATAGGGAGCTACAAGTGGAGAGATAGGGAGCTACAAGTGGGGAGATAGCGGGCTACAAGTGGGGAGATAGCGGGCTACAAGTGGGGAGATAGCGGGCTACAAGTGGGGAGATAGCGGGCTACAAGTGGGGAGATAGCGGGCTACAAGTGGGGAGATAGCGGGCTACAAGTGGGGAGATAGCGGGCTACAAGTGGGGAGATAGCGGGCTACAAGTGGGGAGATAGCGAGCTACAAGTGGGGAGATAGCGAGCTACAAGTGGGGAGATAGCGAGCCACAAGGCAGCGACAGGCTAAAAGTAAGAAGAGAGATAGCTACAAGCAACGAGTAAGTGACAGTGAGTCATATGAGAGAGTTTATTAAATGAGTACGGACTATGATTTCGCAAGCTGTGCAAACTTGAATTTTTGGGAATCATCAAAAATATGTTTGAGACAGGTTCTGCAAGTGGGATGTGGGTGAGCTACAAGTAGTGTGTGGGTGAGCTACAAGTAGTGTGTGGGTGACCTACAAGTGGGGTGTGGGTGACCTACAAGTGGGGTGTGGGTGAGCTACAAGTGGGGTGTGGGTGAGCTACAAGTGGGGTGTGGGTGAGCTACAAGTGGGGTGTGGGTGAGCTACAAGTAGTGTGTGGATGAGCTACAAGTGGGGTGTGGGTGAGCTACAAGTGGGGTGTGGGTGAGCTACAAGTGGGGTGTGGGTGAGCTACAAGTGGGGTGTGGGTGAGCTACAAGTGGGGTGTGGGTGAGCTACAAGTAGGGTGTGGGTGAGCTACAAGTGGGGTGTGGGTGAGCTACAAGTGGGGTGTGGGTGAGCTACAAGTGGGCGATAGGTTGAAAGTAAGAAGAGAGTTTGCGACAAGTCACAAGTAACTGACAGTGAGTCATAACAAGGGAGTTCATTGAATGACTACAGACAATAATTGCAAGCTGTGTGAATAAATAAACTGATTTTTGGGAATCATCCAAAATATGTTTGAGACAGTGTTATATGATGAAGATCTCACTGGAAGAAACTTTTGATTTTATGAGTGTTTTGAAAATCACAAAATGCAATAAAAAAAATTAGAACAATTTGTAAATAAGCAAAAACACCATCAGAAATGGTCCAAGATGAACACTAATAATCTCCTTTATACTTAATAATTTGCATTAGAATTTCCAGAAAATTAATTTATCTCGCCATTTGATGATCATTTGGCACTTCAAGCAACATCTTCTACACACATCACATCACCTGACTATCATTGTATTAATCTTTGGTTTGAGACAACAATATTCATTGTTTGTAACACTCTGTACACATCTTGTTTTCTTGTAAAGACTACATCCATGTGACCGAGTAAACAACAAAGCTGATTCAACATGTCTAATACTGTAACCCGCTTTAATTTTGCAAGACTAATTTTCACAGGTCAGCGAAAATCTTGAAATTTTGTAGCCATGAAAATTCCTCTGTGGTTCTATGACACAATGTGTCAGCGACTTTTATGAAATGTTGTCTCTGTGAATGCCATACAATCATTAAAACTGATAGCAGCAGAATTTAAATGGTTTACAGTATTTATCACTGCTATTATTTTTAATACAACTGATAATTTTATGGTAGTCAAAAGAACTAGTTGTGGAATGTGAACCTTGAAAATATAAAATACATGCCATATACTGAATGAAACAAAACAAAACGACATGACAGTTTTTGAACTGAATGAAGCGAATTTGCATGCAACCTCAGGGTTATTCTATTAGAAACATGCACCATATGTTACCATATTAATAAATCAGGATTATAACAAAAAAAATATTCAACTGTTTAAGTTTTACAAGACTTCATGAATTTTCATGACTAAGACAAAATTGCAAAATTTTGTAGCCTTGAAAACTGTAAACTAAATAATTTTTGCTACTAGTAATTTTTGCGATTTTTATTTTGCGTTTACATTCACGAGAGCACTATTTTGCTAAAGTCACTGTGACTCTGTCTTTAAGAACCCAGTGAAATATTTAACCCTAAAAAATGCAAATTTTCATTGACTAACAAAATTCATGATTGTTTTTGTCATTTGGTACATTATTGTTACAGGGAGTGCGTGCACAAGATGAAGTCACAGACTTTCGTGAAATTCATTCTTGTGAACCTCTCTGAAATCAGCAAATCGCAAACACTCCAGCAGCACAAACACAATGACATAAACTAGCATTACCGGTTGCACAAGCAGTCAAAACAATTACAATATGCAATGAAAACATTAAA